GGAAGAGGGAGGTGCGGGGGGAGAGGGAGGGGGCGGGGTAGAGGGAGGTGGGGGGGGAGAGGGAGGGGGCGGGGGAGGGGGAGGTGGGGGGGGAGAGGGAGGTGGTGGTGGCGGCGGGGGAGGTGGGGGGGGAGAGGGAGGGGGCGGGGACGGGGGAGGGGGAGGTGGGGGGGGAGAGGGAGGTGGTGGTGGCGGCGGGGGAGGAGGCGGCGGCGGCGGGGAAGGCGACGGGGGTGGAAATGGTGGAGGCGGCGAGGGTGGTCGGGGAGATGGTGGAGGTGGGGAAGGTGGTCGAGGGGATGGCGGAGGCTTGGGGGTGCTCACATAGCGGATAGGGCAACATGAGTCGGTGCTGTCAGCGCTGTTGAACAGGGCTACTTGGCATGTCCCTGGAGGAGAGCTAGCTGACGGCGGCACACAGAACTCTTCCAGAGTATCGCAGCCGGCGTCGTTCACACCAGCCGTGAGGTTGAGGCAGAGCTCAGCGTTGTTGTCCGATAAACCCATGTTCAAGTTTGTCAGGCGCAGTATGAACCTGTAGCTGCCGTCCGGCATGGTGTACCGATAAATGTTGGGGCCGACGCTGGTGAACTTGCCGTTGACAAGGGCCTTGATGGATGCAGACTTGGCAGCACATTTGCCGTAGACGTCGAACTGTTACGATTGCGGCCAAGGCAGCGGTGCATGGGAAACTTCCGCAGGAGCGATGCCAGGCAATTGAGGCAGGTTAACGCAAATCCCGGGGGGCAAGGCCAAAGGTTGATGACATGATATGTAAAAATAAGTTCACATATTTTAAGTACATAAATCCTAATCCCTACGGAATGGCCGGAAGGGTTTTCTTTCCATATGCGAAAAACCGTACCTCTATCTTGTTCAAGTCAACATTGCAGCACCGACCAACGCAGCCTTGTGTGTTAATCTTGAGTGTAAAGCAGAACATGTTGTTTCCTTTAATATTCGCAACTGGAGAGAAACTGTATGGTGACGGATTTCCGGGAAGGCGATAGCAGGAGCAGTATGGGAACCTAGGGTCGACCCCTCCTTGCGGCTCCTCGTAAACGAACCCATCTTCTTCAGCCAACGCTATGGGCGTCCTGCGGATATCGCGGCCCATCAGAAAATGAGTCATCAACAAAGCAGCAAGGTGCACAGGGAGCGATGGTGCGCGTAAGACGCGCACAAGGCGATATGCGAGAGAGAATCACTGCGGTGAATCGCGAATACATCGTCTCGGTTGGCTCACAAGTAGATCGCCAGCAAGCAACAGCAGAAAACCAGGAGTTTGGGAGCGAAGTACACCGAAGGATGTCGTCGCGCCATGACTGCCCGCCCTACTTACGGAGATTGTAAAATGATGAAAAATCCGTATGCAAATTGGTCAAGGGCTTGCCTTACTTTATTATACCACACACCCCGGGAAACTGGATCCAACGAAATCTACGGCATTCAGGTAAAACAAGCGCGAGCGATCGCAACATACCCCTGACTAACGGTCGATTGCTGCTACCGACAACGCGTTGCGACCAACGGCGTCTTACTAGTGCGAAGAGGTGGGCAGCGCCGGCAGCGCCGGCAGCGCCGGCAGCGCCTCGCTGCGGGAGAGCGACCTCGAAGCTCTCGCGCACCCAGAGGGTATTCAAGGGTGTTTCGGCCGTAGGCACGTTTTTTACGCGGGAACCTTCGATCACTTTCCGTGTGACAACCAGAAATAACCAACGGCCGTTTTTTGCTACTTACAGCCGCGCCACCTCCGTACGCTACGAGGGTCGTAAACAAAGATTGGAGGCTTCCTTGGGAAATCCTGCCAAAAAAAATTTACCAGTGCGCGATTCACACTGAATTGAATTTGTTTGTTATGCTAGGTATCTTGCTCCATGGGGTTGCGGTAGATCCATCGATGTGACACGGAGGAACTGCATGATGCCCTACACGCTTAACCACAACGCATACATTTTATAGACATGTATAGAAGATGTAAGGCCATGCAGCATTTTCTATCATTGTTTTTTGGTGTCAAGTCCTTTGAGGTTCACAACCGTTCTAAAAGAATTGCGGTTTTAGGCTTGCTGTAGCTTGCAGCTACCAGCTAGAGGTAAGCAACATAATTCTGCTAATGGAAGTCATGAAGTAATTTCCTTGCAAGGTTATAATCCTCCTATTTCTGAAAGTTGCTTTCATTGTGAAACGCACTGGGGATGTGAATGCTTCGCCTGTCATCGCACGGGTTCGCAAACCGCTCCAAGCATCAAGCAATTCGTTTCTCAAAGCCCGAATAGCTAAATTAAAAACATTTAATGTGATATAAAGATTGAGGCTTTAAACACTGCTGGCTATATGTTGTAGTGAAGTTCAGTTGTAAGGCCCAACCGCGACCCTGAACAAAGCGCGACATGACTCAACGAAGGAGGAGGACCATACAAACGCCAACAATCCCGCCAATATTGTACATACATGTATTACTTGTAGTACCACAGCCAAGGAATGGGGCCGTGTGAGAGAGACATGGAGTTGGGCAGGGTTGGGCAAAGCAGTGGCGGGCAGTGGCGGGTTTCTTATCATGCACCGTTTTGCCTCCCCAGCCTGGCTGAAGCGCACAGCGTTGGCCTTGGCGCTTTGGTGCCTTGCTCTTCTTGCTGGTGCATGTTGGAACAAATAATCAAATGAATTTTCGAGCTATGGCTGCCTCGTGCTTGCTAATTTTGTCGCGACTCTCATCTACCCGCGGCATCTTGCACGTATGCACACGTAGAGCCTCATACAGCTTCTGTGCTCCTGTCTCCCTTAACATGTAATCTCGTGGCTCCGCCGAAGCTGAACGGAAAGTACGTGCTGTGACAGAGCGACGAAGGGGAGAGGGGACCAGCTGCCAGGGCCCTTACACGGCAGAAAAACACAGCCAAGCCGCACACTGGCCGCGCGCCAGCGGCACTCCTCGCTGCCCAAGACCAAACCGCGCGGCTGCATCCCAAACCCCAAGGCGCGACACACACCCGGGGCCGCCTAGCAGCCAACCCGGCGCGCGCGAATGAGAGTGAGTGAATGAGTGAGAGAATGAGTGAGTGAGTGAGAGAGAGAGAGAGAGAGAGAGAGAGAGAGAGAGAGGGAGTGTGGCAGACATGTGGCAGCCAGGCTTTCGGAAGGCCGTTTGGTGGCTCGATTAGCGCTTTCCTCAGCCGCACCTGCTGTGCATGCATCCTTTAGGCAGCGGGCAGCTAGACACCCTAGCTGCCCATTCACAGCTCTCAAAAGTACAGCAAATCTTTGAGGCACCGCCCATAACGAGTATCCATGTATAACGTAACCCAAAAGGATGCTTACTATGCTTTTCGCATGAACCGGCTCGAATCTTTAATCACTAGTGAAGGGAGAAACACATGTTTTTTGCAAAAATCGTTGAAAAAACCGTACAACCCATAAAACCCTTGTTACAAAAAGCCGCCGCTGGCTCAGGTACCAGCCGTTCCAGCATTGCGAGCGCAAGGGCCAAGCTGGTGCTACTGCTACTGTCGCTACTGCTACTGCCGCTACTGCTACTGCCGCTGCCTTGGGCATTGGGATCGCCGCCACCGTGGGGCGGGCCGTCCACGGTACCGGCAGCTGCGGCGTGTGTCGCCGTCGCTGCCGCCGCCAAGCCGGCGGCACCGGAGTCCAGCACGGCAGCGGGATTGGAGACGGCTGCGGTGCTGCCATTCCCGTGGCGGTACCAATTCTACTGCTAGTACTCGTGCTGTTGCTACTGTTGCTACTGTTGCTGATAATGCTTTTGCTAATGCTTTACAGCCTCACTAGTACAAGCACTAGTATAAGCAAGTTACAAAATATGATAGCAACGAAATACGATAACGACACACATGGCATGGCACTAAGAATTGCATACGTTTCAACCGCGCACGGAGACAACACGAGAAGTCAACGGCGACAGCGGCTGGCATGCATTAACTGCACCAGAGCAGCGGCACCAATGTGGCCCAACGGCCGCTATGGGTGGTCCCTGCTGCAGGGCTTTTACCCTTCTCCACCCCGCTTAAACCGCTTAAACCCCGTCCTCCAGTCTTCCACACATGCCGACTACCCTACCCTGCAAGTCAATGATTGATCCATAGAGCTTCGAATGTCTCTCCCACCTATGAAAAAAAGGTAATGTACATACCGTACCCTTCGGCAAGGTCCCTTTCTAAACTAACTCCATGGGCGTGAGGATAGATTCAATTATGAGCCGCGTAGTGAAATGTAATCTAAGCGGCCCGTTAGTTGATGAAGAATGAGATCCTTTCCCGGGCCCGTTGCCACGTGCGTGAGCCAGCCGAGCCAGCAGGCGGCCATCTCGGCGGTCCTCTGTGGTTTAATATCCGTTCTGAATCGCAGCAAGAATAGCGCGATGTGGTACTCATTTCGCAGAGTACATACATTTAGCACCGATCTGGTCAGTTGCGCGCGTCAACAGGACTACTAAGTGGACACATCGCGAGCGAGGCTTAACGAGGATAACAGCTAAGGCAATCACATGAAACAGCGCAAGAAATAATTACCTGTCGAAAATGATCCTGCAGTCAACCATCTCCTTAAGTCAGTGACTTGCATGTTGTGTGCGTTTCCTCGCAAACGGAAGGGCGCGGATTACTGGCACATGCCATATGCAGCAAAAATTCAAGAAACCGAATAACAAATAAGGACACTTAAACCACCAAGGCACCATGGATCATGAACGGTTAAGTCGTATCGTAGTTCAAAATGATGCTGCTAATGCGCCCCCTCTTGCTGCTGTGGTGCCATCGCCGCAAACAAAGCAGGATCAAACTGAAGACACGGGCGAATCTGATAGGTGGAACCGTGACCAAGCAATCTGACACTGATCTGCGTGCCGACATCATTAGTCGTCGGTACTTCGCAACACCGCAACTTCGTCTCAGGTGCAGTAGTAATGCACGGCCAGCTGGTCAGCTGGCTCTACTCATCGGGATCCTGGAGGCCACTGTAACAAAACCACACACCGCAAGCCTACCTACCGCACACCTACAGCGGTGCGATCACCGGGAAATCCGGCTCGTACGGCAATGAAGCGGCATAGGTCGGGCAGCAATTGTTCTTCTCGTTGAAGAGGCTCACGTAACTGCACACGTGTGTGAGAGGGAGGTCAGTAGGGAGGGCGGGGCGTGATGGGTCATATAACGCACGGCACAGGGAACAAACGTAAAACGCTGTACATGGATTACTAAACCTTTATGCGTAAGACTAAAACCTGTTTCAATGGCTTGAACCTGACCGGTCGTGCAGGGTTACACAACTCACCACACACGCTCCCGGCCTACTAGCACCAGCACCGCCTGCTACTCACCACACACGCTCCCCCAGGCAGAATGTGTCCAGGGGTATGGTGAGCTCCAAGCAAACCTGGGCGCCGACGGCCGACGTCAGATTCCAGTTCAGGGGTGTGGCTGCGCACGGAAAGCCAGAGGGCGGAAACACACCTATGAGTCGCAGGGCGTGCAGATTACCGAATGAAATGTAAAAAAAATCATATGTTATATATTCATATGTAATAACCTGCTTGGAATGCTGTAATGCACTTCCAGTCGGCGAACCAAGTGGATAGCCCCAAGGACTTAGCAGAGCAACGGGAACTCAGCCGGAGCCATCACACCCAATTATGCACGTCCCCCAATATCATATGCCATGCTCTGAGCTGGCATGGAAAGCGGAAGGGGACGGACGACCCAGTGTGAATGCACGGCACATACACGACGATGCAGCATGAGGAGATAGGTGATCTCTTGGACATTACTAAGACGCAGCCACTAGCTCGCGGCCAACACGAGCACTGTTCAGCTTGCTCTCGAGGCGCAGCCCTTGGCCCAAACTCCTTTCCCCTCGGATGTTGACCATATAGCGCA